TACAGTGGTGTGAAAAAATGTTTGCCCCCTTATATTTTGCCTGTCTGTTAGACTTTAATGTTTCAGATCATTTATAGTCAAAGATAGCACAAATAAACACATCACACAGTTTTGGAATTAAGGTTTTTATTCTTCACATTCCTGAAGTCAATTACTCTAGCCACATCCAGGCCTGATTACTGCCACAGCTGTTCCCAATCAACAAATCACTAAAATAGGACATGCCTGATAAAGTGGAGTAGACCAAAAGATCCTCAAAAGCTAGACATCATGCCAAAAGGCTTAAAGTGTTTCGGCACAATGCCGGATCTTGTGTGCGGCCTTGAGGGGATATATATATATATATATATATATATATATATATATATATATATATATATATATATATATATATATATATATAGATATATATATATATATATATATATATATATATATATATATATATATATATATATATATATATATATATATATATATATATATATATTGCCTAAGGGGCTAATAATATTGACCTTAAAGTTGGTTTCAAAATATTAACCGGTTATAAACCTGCTTTTTTTTTCTAGCCGAAATAAAACTAATAAGACTTTTTCAAGAAGAAAAATTTTATAGGAAATACTGTTAAAATTCCTTGCTCTGTTAAGCATCATTTGGGAAATATTTATTTTTTTAACAATTCTCAGTACTGCTAATGATTTTGACTTCAACAGTAATAGTTTTGAATAATCGCGATTACAGTTGACCAAAATAATCGTGATTATGATTTTTCCCAAAATCAAGCAGCCCTAGGTGACCATTCCCAACTTTATTAAAGATACTTTTAGGTTCAAGTGGTAGATGTAAGGAATTAGATACAAGCACAGTATGGTTGTTTGTAAAGCATCTGCTGCCAACTGCTGTTAAAAACAAAACTCCAAATTGATTTAAGAGGGAATAGAGATGAGGTTTTTCACAACATCTCTAGTTTTCGTAATAGATTTGCAACCAAATTGCAAATAATCTTATGGAAACAAGGCTTTGTACTTCAGTGTCTGTGTAATACATGATCACTTGCTGGAGTGGGGGATCTGTGCAAACGGCTCTACATCAATCTATTTAAAAAACCAATACTGTCAGTATGCATGCATGTTTGTTTAAGTGTATTTTGAAATATCAAGCAATGCAGTGATATATTGTGGCAAGATGCTCAGATGCAATTACAGATTCACAGAATTTCCAAAAGTCTTCATTCTTGAGGATTGAAAACTAAATTGTAGTGAAATTTGTGTTTTTAAAACGAAAACCCACCAGCGCAATCGTAACCTCAGCATGGGTTAATGACTATAAAAGAGTACTGCACATTGAGCAATGACACGTGACGCTCTTCTGAAACATGCTGATTACCCATTGTCACTCTGGCCTACAGGATGTGGTTTGCTGGTCCATATTTAGGTGGATAACTGATGCCTTATTTGCCCTGGACTGCCTCAAAAGTATCTTTTTGGGTTTGATATACCACCCAACAGGAATTATTTCAGACTGGGATCAATGCAGGATTAGGCTTGGGTTTAAGCAAAGGATTGTTTTATTTTTAGTACAGAGCAAGGCAGATCTATCTCCAGTTTGGGTTAAAGAATTATGGGGGTTTTAACTTCTTCATTTGTACAGCTGTGCAGGTGTACTTGAACTGCTACTGGCTCTTTTCACAAAGTGAATTAGCACATTGCCTCAAGGCTTTCCAAAAACATGTTCAGTTTCAAACACAATGCAGTTTTTCAGGGGCGAATTGACCACACTTTTTAACACAGGATAGTAAACACTGGTTATTTGTTTAGTAGAAGTCTCTATGTGTTTTAGGGTGTTTCTGTAGAAAAGGGATGTGGCCACTGGCAAAATAAACACATTAGGGTGAAAAACTGTGCATCTGTGTATAATGCTGAATTCATGGAAAAGCCAAACAGCATCTTCATTATGAAGCTCAGCTTCAGCATTTTAGGATGGTTCTGTCATAATTTGCACTTGTTTGAAGCTTCTACGAGTTTCTTAATTTGAGCACAAATAAGATATTTAGAAAAATGAAAATGAAAAGTACTAAAATTTCTACTTGTATTCGTTTACTATAATGTGCTTCTGTGCTTACATTATAAGAAAAAAATATAGTTTAAAGACTTTTTTATTGAAAAAAAGAACAGTAAATTATTGGGATACAAGTGAAATCAATTATTGGAATACCAAAAAGAACTGTCACATTTGAAATTCTCTGTTTTTTTTTGTTTATTTTATTTATGTATTTATTATTTTTTTGATGATGATGGATTTATACTTTCGGTTGGCTCTGCATCGCGCACCTCTGCTGAGTGTGCGTGCACCTTGCGAAATAGACAAGGCTTTTATACTTGCCGCGTTCACTGCTGTGATATTCTTTAAAACGACAGGGGGCAATCAAAAGAAATTGGCTGTAAAGTCAGATGGATAAACAGAGAAGTAGGACGTTTCCGGAACTACGTCATATCATTAATATCATTCAATATTATTAAACTAATTATTTTTATTATTCTATAAATTATTTTAATGATTATTAGGTTTTTATAACCATTCAAGATTTTTTTTAATTAAACCAAAAATAGTACACTTACTTAAATACAGATGCTTTTTTGTTTGTTTGTTTTAGCCCGCTCCATAGTTTACACATTACTGTACTATACTTATGCTAAAAAGGGAATAATGGTACAACATTCCTGACCATTATCACCAATAAAGCCTAGGAAAAAAGACATCAGTGTATTGTAAACCGATGGGTTCAAATTTTCCTTTCCAGTTATCAAAGAAAAATAAGTTAATTTATAGTTTTGTAACTATAAAATTGTTTTAAATTCAAAATTAAACATGAACATCAGTGTAAAACCTATGAGTAGTGGAAAAACATGTTTCTGTAATTGTCTACCTGGATCACTTTTGCCATGGCCTCTTTAGGCTTTAACAAACTTATCCCTTGGGTTTTTACCTTTTAACAAAAACTTTCCTCCTTTCCCACGGCTGTTGCAATTTCTAGCCAAGAATTGTTGGTTGTTTGGTTATCTCTATGATCACGGTTCATATGTCTGTACAGGCGTACTGTTTCAGACAAAATCTCCTCAAAGTGTTTCATATTCAACTCAAATCAAACACGGCGCTGCACATACTGTTTTCTCGAGTCTCGCAAAAAAAATAATGCGCTCCGCCAGCAGAAATCATGTTGGGTGCACCCAAAGCAAACCTCCCCAAACTCTGCAATGATGTCACATTTGCCGCACGCTCTTAAGCGAAATAGGGGACGTGTCGAGTATAAACCAGGCTTACCATTTAAGTTATTGCTAGTATGAATAACGCAGCAGCCACATCGGTTGGCCTAAATCTTTTTTTTTTAAACATAATTATTACTTGAAGCCCATAAATGCATAAAAAATAAGGAAGCATAAGAGAATCTTTTTTTTTTCCTATTTGAGTAAAAAATGAGAAAATCTTTTTTGAATGTGTTTGATATTTAAAACCAACTTGAGGACAGTTAATTTACTATTTACCTTAAATTAGAAGTTTTCTAGTGGAAAATTCCTATAATGTGTTATTCGTCATGTGAATTCATTTGAACTACATTCCCATTTTTATTTTACGTTTCCATTTTCTCTTTTTTTCTTTCCATGCCATTCTTGCTGCTTGCTGTGACAGTGTCTCCATCCTCTGAGAGTGCAGGCCTGTGTAATGATGAGACATCAGTGGGCAGTAATGAGTCAGTCTCCTCCCAGTCCTCCAATGCCTCTGGAACGCCTCCTGAGAAATCCAAGAATCACCACACTACCATTAGCACATCCCTGCAAGAAGGCACTGGGTATGTAGCAAATGCTCTCTTCTGTCTCACAAAAAATAGAAATGTAGTTAATTTACTTTATATTTAAAACTAATAAGGTTTTTTATATATAAAAAAAAGAAATTAATTTTGATGTACTTTGCTTTTTAGCTTAAATGTATGTAAAGCTATAATATAATACAGCTATAAAGTTTTAATATAAATATACATAAAGAGCAAAAGCCGCTAAACGCCATTTCCACCAAAAAAGAGATAATGACATTGAGTGAATGCTTTAGGCATATAGTACACCATCAACAAATAGATTTGCTTCAAAACTGAATCACAGCATTAGCGTATTCAGAAATGACAGTTTGTTGGCAAAAGCCGCTAAACGCCACTTCCCTTTGACAGCAAAAGCCTGAGAACCGCGTGAATCGAATCATATGTTTTCAATATGTTAATTTCAATATGTTATTTATATGGAGACTGTTTTATTCCGCTTTCTGAATAAAACGGAATAAACGGAATCAACTTTTTTTTAAAGACGGAGTTTGATGAACTGGATGAGCCTGTCCGACTGTCAGTGAATGGCAAATTAAAATGTCCCTTACCTCACAACTTTGTGCTTTAAAAAAGAAAACACACTATACAGTCGGAAGTGCAGCATACATTCATAGTTTTTTTTTTTTTTTTGCGCAGTGGCACTACTTTGAATGAGTCAGATTTACTTTAAATTAAACAATAACTGCGCTTTGCGAAAGACAGAGCTAAGATGCCCTTCTTTTACCAAGACCTTAAGTAGTGTGAGAATGAATTAATGACAGCCTCTACAATTGTCTTAGAAGCATCCCCTTTTTGCCCAGTAGGCCACAATTGTGTTTTATTTGCTA